GCTCTTGCCCTGACAGAGCAGAGAAACTGCGTGCGTTTGGGAGGAAGCTGCAGCAGGTAGGCTGCCTTTGCGCCCCGCCCGTGCTGCCAGGGTCAGCCCCCCTGCTGCAGGCCCATTGCGGGAGGGAGGGTGAGCCTTGCATTTCGCGGGTGAGGTTTTCTGTGGTCAGACAGAGAGCTTTGCCTTTCCTTTTTCTACCAGATTGTAGATGGGCAGATGAAGGCGCATCTTGTTTTGGACGATCCTGCAGGAAACAGTTACCTTCAGGTAAGGCAAATCGGTGCAAATATCATGGGAGGAAGAGGGAAAGGGCCAGCAGGTTTTAAAAGAGGTATTGGGTGTTTGGTTTGAAAGTGCAACGACTTCCTGTTTCCTGGAATGGCTCAGTGAAGGGCAGCCATAACCAGGTTTATACCTGGCCTTGGGGCTTCCAAGCACCTTCTGTTATGGAATGTCCCTCTGGGCAAGGATGTAGGAGGAGGCTCTGAAGTCTCCCCCTCTCTGGTGAAATTGTTTGGCCTTCATTGTTGAACTGTTGGGTAGTGGCATTCTTCTGGCATTGTTTGGGCACTTTGGCCAGTGTTGGGTTGCGGAAGGCTGACCTTGGTATTTCCAGGGAAGATGCGTGAAGGGGCTGAAGGACATTTTTCATGTAATCCCGTTGTGCATATTTTTAATAATGGTGGAGATGATTCCTAGCATGTTTGATTTTGGCTTTTTATAAACCCCAATCCTGTTCCTAAAAGGAATCCTACCGGATTTGGGCAAAAGACTGCAAACCCCAGGGATTTATTGCATGCATGCAGCTGCCTCATAGGTCTTGTCTTTGCACTTCCAGAATCTGTATGCTCCTGAAGAAGATCCAGAGTTGTGCGTGGAGCGATACGAGCGGCGGTTTGAACAGAACGAGGAGCTGGGCCTGAATGACCTGAAAACAGAAGGCTACGAGGCAGAGGTTTCTTCCCCTCCATAGCCAAGCTGGCATGCTGGGGACTGTGTGGAAAGTAATAATAGACTGTCGGGTTTGAAGCTTTTGTAGACCACTTTTCTTTGGCAAGATTGACTCTGCCCGACACATAGAAGGCAGGCTGGCCGGACTCAGCTATTAAAACTGAAGCAGGGACGTTTGTGTCCTTGTCTTTTTTATTTTTATTTTTATTTAAAACAAATTTTATTAATTTTTAAAGACAAACAAATCATCATTAACCATTACATACATGAACCTTTTTCCATTATGAGTTTTACAAGTCAAATAAAACCTTATTTTATACAATATAGTTCTATTTTAGACCATTTCCATATGAGCATACAAATATCTCTTATCCAGTTTCTCTTTATTTCTCTTTACTTTTATTCAATTTCACTATTATTATTTCATCTATTTCTTTCTGACTTGGTTACCATTATTCTCATTCTGTATTTCTGCAAGGTTTTATTAATTCTCCCAGATACATAAACACACAACACACAAACATATAAAAGATCTTTTAGGAAAGTAACTTGGCCCCAGATACCTCTCTCTACATGGACTTCAATTATATTCATGCTCATCTTACATGTCATTACCTATTTTATTTACCATTCTATGTCTTCTATATTAGCTTCTCCACACATTTCACTCTTCTTAATTCTATCTTATTTAATCCATTTTAATTTAAGTCATTATATTTGTATCTTTTGTCCATTCTTTATTATCCATTTGTCTCATTCCCTATAATAAAAAAAAAAAAAGAATTTCTCCTGAAATCACTAATCAGAGTATGATGCCTTTCTATCTTCCCCCTAAATTAACATTTAAAATAACACATAATACCCAATCTGATTCTGCTTGGTACATTCTATCTACTAATTTTTTAAAAAGAAAAATAATAAATCCAAAATGATTAAATACATAGTTAAATAATAAATCTAAATATTGAATCTTATAATATTCCAATTGCCTTTTCCAAAAACAAATGCTACAATAATAATTTTATAATAACATCAACACCATAGTCAATTAGACTCTTTAATTAAAACTCAATATTCTAAACATTCCCTTTAATATTTTATTAGATTTTAAAATCAATCATTACTAAACATTTCAATATTTTAATCTCTTATTAACTCTTAAACCATTCTAATTTTCTATTTCTAATACAAATGCTACAATACCATCTTATGTACCTTGCAGAATCTTTTTTAAAGAAATTATACTTTACCCTTTGTCCCTAAAAAAGATTCCTCTTTTCCCATCTGGTTTCAAAGCTTTGTGGCTTTTCTCCACCTTTTCCCTTTCTTTCTTCTCCCACCAGGCCTTTCTACCCCCCCTTCTCCTAGCCTCTGCCTTGCTAGCTTCCCTTCTCTGTTGTGTTCCTTTTTTCTTTTGTTTTCTATCATTATATTGATTTTGCATCTTATTTTTCTCTTTCTTGGGTGTTTTTTTAAATCTTAAGTCCTTCATTTTCCTTCCTCTCTTTCTTCCTTCTTTCTTAGTTAAATTTTGAGATTCATTAAAGATGGCTTCTTCTTCTTCTTCTTCTTCTTCTTCTTCTTCTTCTTCTTCTTCTTCCTCTTCCTCTTCCTCTTCCTCTTCCTCTTCCTCCTCCTCCTCCTCCTCCTCCTCCTCCTCCTCCTCCTCCTCCATCTGTTGTTGTGTTTGTTGATAGATAGCAAGCGCCATTTCTAAAAAAAGAAAAGCTTCTTTTACAACATCCTTGCCATCTTTTTTTGTTTGCTCATATTCTTTTCTCAGTTCCTCAACAGAAAAAGCCATTATAAATCTTTTCTTTTCTTTCTTTTTTCCTCTTTCTTCTTACAACAACCAAGATATTTCAAAAGTTAGAACAATCCCAAAATCCCAACGTCATCAATCAATCCAAGCCAAAACAAAGTTCTCACTTTCTCTTCCTGGGGTAATATCAATCAAAAAAAGAAAAACCAAAAAGCAAGTTTTTACCTTCTATAAAAAGACAGGTTTCTCAGTATCCATTTGTTGATTCCATAGGGAAGGAGAGTAAACTTTCCTTTCAGCACCTCAACATTGCCGCTTATTTTCTCTTCTGGAAAGTATCATTCAAAAAGCCATAATTTTCAGGATGTTAAATGTGTCTTAAAGTCCTGGGTCGACCAAGAAAAACTTTCACTTTCAAAAACTTTCTCCTCTCCCTCCTGCGCATTCTTGCCCAGCTGCCGGCTTCTTTGTGGCGGCCATTACGGACCGCCGCTGCACCGTCTTGAGAAAAGGGGGTTCTGCCGGCCGGGGAGGGGGTGTGCAACACCCCCAAACCCCTCTCCGGATCCCCCCTATCTTCAGCCACCCCTGCAGGGCAGCCTTAGCCTCCAAACCCATCCGGATCGGAGCACCAAAACGGCTAGCGCAGCAGGGATCGCGCAGTATCGCGAATCCCTGCCGCTAGCAAAGCCGACAAACCGGAAGTCCGTTTGTGTCCTTGTCTTAAAGTGGAGCGGAAGGGTTCTGCTGGGGGTCTTGGGTGAAGCGGTGACTTCTGGCTTCCTACCATTTTCCTCTTGAGCCTGGGGGGGGGGGGAACCCTTCTTTCTGTCAAGACTTCGCAAGCTGCCCTTGTACTACTACTAAGAGCCATGCTGGTAATTGCCTACAATTCCCCTGTAGCCTGATGGTGCGAGTGATGGATTCAGGGGCTGTAGCAACTACAACACAAGAGGTTGGCAATGTCCTGGCTTGGCCCTGGGCCCATAACAATGTCAATACTGGAATGATAAAAATTATACCTAACCAAGAAAAGCAACAGATCAATAAGCAAACCCCTCTCTGATGCCAATCTCTAATCCTTCAGAACTCAAGGCCCTGGGACAAGTGTGGGGATTTCGCTTGCTTTCTAAGCCCAAGCGAGGTGGTTAGGGCTGGGCAGACCTCTAGTTGGAGAGCATTGTGGGGCTCCCATAGCGAATCATCCTCCAGGTTGCCTTTCCCCAGCCACTGGGAGGATGTGGGGGAACCCCTCTGCTGACTAGCTCATGGCACAGAGGAAAGGAGCGGCTCCATCCAATTTCAAGTCAAGCAACAGGTCTTTGGATCGCTAAAATGCTTCGGACTTCGGGGGCCAACATGGTGGGAGGGCTACTGATTCTGGGGGCTTTGCTGCAGGTCTGGCGTGCATTTTTTGCTCCCAGTTTAAGAAGGCGAGGGGCTGTTGGTATTGGCCATAAGGGTGGTGGTAGCTTCAGAGCAGGGAAATTAGAACTGGACCCTCTGGTTGAAGAGGGGCTAGGAAGCAGAGGGCCTGGGGAGGGGCAGTCGGAGCTGCTTCTTGGGGTCGGCCGGCACTTTGAGAGGCAGACTGAGCTCTGTTGCAGGGGAATATTGCCAACTTATTGGCAGCGACGGGCATAATTAAGCCTGCCCGCCACTCTGGGCAACTATAAATAATATACTATATAAATATATACTGTATAAATATAGTATATAAAATCATACATTGCAATGTCCTACCTGCAAATGAATACTTCAGCTTCAATCATAACAATACAAGAGCACACAATAGATCCAAACTCAAGGTTAACCGCGCCAGACTTGATGGCAGGAAATACGACTTCAGCCAGAGAGTGGTCAATGTCTGGAATACTCCACCTGACTGTGGTTTCTTCCCCAAACCCCAAAAACTTTAACCTTAGACTGTCTACTATGGACCTCACCCCTTTCCTAAGAGGCCTGTAGGGGGCGTGCAAAAGCGCACCAACGTGCCTACCGTCCCTGTCCTATTGTTTTTTTTTATTTTTCTTATAAGTATCTATCTCGTGTATTCAAAACTATATTTATTCTAATATCTATCTTGTAAGCGATTGACAAATCAAATAAATACTAAAATACTAAAAATACTAAACTCGCAACAATCGAAGAAATTATCATAAAACGAAAGAGCTTCCAGGATGCGGAGGGGTCGCTGGCCGCCAGGGGCGCCGCCAGGGGGCGACATTGTGACCCGGAGACGACCAGAGAGAGGAGCCTGAGGCTTCCGCTCGGCGGCGGCGGCGGCGGCCTTGCTTCCGCTTCCTTGTCCCCAGAGAAGATGGCGGCGGCCTCCAGCCTCTCGAAGGCCGAGTACTTGCGGCGGCGCTACCTAGAGGGCAGCGTTGCGGAGGCGGACAAGAAGCGGCGGCGGAAGAAGAGGGCGGCGGCGGCGGCTGGGGGGCGGTGAGTGAATTCGGCCTTGCGGGCCTCCGGTCTTCCTGGGCGTCCCTCGAGGCCGGCGGGGGCCCGGGCCCGGGATCCCGGTGGGCGAGGAGCCCGGAGGGTCGGTCTCCCTGCGCAGCCCCGGCAGACGGGCCGCTTGGCCGCCTCCCTGAAGGGCAGCTGGGTCCCTTTGGAGGGCGCCCCGGGCGGGAGCTCCCCCGTGCGCAGGTCGGCCGCCCTGCGGGCCTCCCTCGGAGCGTGGCGCGTCGGGGAGCGAGGCTGAGCCGGTGTCGAAGGGGCTCCTTTTCCCGCCCGCAGGATGCGCATCGTGGACGACGACGACGTGAGCTGGAAGAGCAGGCCCGCCGAGGAGCCGGAGGAGGAGGAGGCAGACGAGAGCGACCTGCCCGTGGTGAGTAGCGGGGCGGCCGGAGCCTCGCCTGGCTTTTCCTTGCTGGTGGCCTGCAGCGCGGAGGGTTCCGAGGCCTTTTCCGTGGTCAAATGCCAAAGCAAAGCGACCAGTCGAGGCAGGAGCCAAGGCTGTCTCGGTCTTCGGGACCAGAGGTTTTGCCTTCCGAGCTGGAGCCGATCCTTGGGGAATTGTCGGACTGGTTGTCCGGTAGGAGGATTTTTAGCCGTGCAGGAAAAAAACAAAAACAAAACCCGTCTTATCTGTTGTTTCCAGGTGGCTGAATTTATCGATGAACGGCCAGATGAGGTTAAGTGGATGGAAACTTTCCGAGCAAGTAATAAATGGAAGTTACTAGGAGGTTAGCAGTTTGGAGCTTCTCTGAGAGAAGGGTTTCCTTGTGCGTGAGACACTTGAGCTGGATTTACTGCATGCATCCTCTCCCTAAGCCAGACTCTGTGCTCAGGTAGTGCTGGCTGAAAAGGCACTTAAAGTCGTGGAACAGAACGATAAACATGACTGAATGTTTAGTTCTTTTACATCTGAAGAAAGGAAATTATGTGCTTGTAGAATTAATTCGCTGTGCCTAGCCTTGTATGAGGAATTTAGCACAATGTCTTGTTTGCTTCTCTAATAAGATGCTGTTTGTTGAAAATAGGATTTTTCCTCTGTAGGATATTTAGAAGATCCAAAAGTGGGAAAGTAGATATTGTCTAAGTTCCACATTTTACTTTCCTTTGAAAAAAAAACACATTAAAAATGAAATGTCTTTTCATCCTGGAAATCAGCTTTCTTCAGAAACAAATTTGGCGCCCTCCAGATCTCCAGGGCTTTCCTTGCTCTTTAGGAATTTGACAAGTTGTAATTTCTATATTTTGGGAAACAGCCATATGGAGAGAGAGATTTGTGGATGTTAGGGATGCATTGTGTATTAAGAAGGCTTTATGTTTTCTTTTTTTAAAGACCAGGATGAAGAGCCACAGTTATTTGGATGTTCTGCGTCAACCACATCTATAAGCAGGTGAGATGTAGGAACATTAATTCTGGCTATATTGCTTGTAATTAATCGAGAATATTTGTAGCTCGGGGTTGACGTGATTTTATTTCTTGGAGAGTTTTACAATATTTTGGAGTAAACCTTTACCACATTAATTGCATTGATCGCTGATTGGAGACTTTTTCATTTTGTGCAGAAGCAGTTACTTCAGACAGTTTGTGGGTGGAATAAATGGGAGCAGCACTTTTTTAAATACACAACTGCTGAATTTCCACACTATCCAATCCATTGATTCAGTGAAGTTTCCAAAACAAAAATCCACTGGGAATGAGCTTTCTATTTCCAGTGCTTTATTTAATTTATTTTAAATTTATTTAATTGTATTATTTGTACTTGTTTTCAGGATTTCTTTGGAAGGTGTTTAGTAGGAGATGCCAAGTAACATTCATCAGTAGTTGGACTGTCTTCTATTAAGAATTTGGATCTCTGCACTGGGCATGTTTTGAGTTCTCAGAACTCAGTGGCCCCGTCTACTTTTAAATTTTGTGGTTCTTGGGATTTTGGCTTAGGATGAAAAATTTGTGTTGCTTGATGTTATATGCTACTGCCAGAGTGCTGAATAAGCCAGAGAATTCTTGGATCAGAAGAATTTTCCCCCAAGGTACCTGGGCAAGGACCAAAAATATATAAAGCTTATCTTGCAACACAATGCTAATTGAAAGTCGGTATATTTGTTTGAAACTTAGATTGTTGCTTCTGTTATCTTACTCAGTTCAGAAACCTCCAGAACAAACAAAAAAAAGCATTTGTTGGACCAGTCCCCACCTAGGAGGCACCGTCATGCCCAGCCTGATCTGTCCCCTCAAAGGGAGCCTTCAGCAGGAGGCACAAATCGTGTCAAAGGCTCAAGTGGAAGCCAACGTGAATTGTTCTCAGGCGAACGCTCAGCCGGCCAGAAGTACAGGGAGGCTGCGGAGGCTGCTGTGTCTCTGCCTTTCAAGAAAGCATCTCGTGCTGAGGGAGACTTGCTGCCACCCAGAAGTGAGTAGCCTTGTGCTAAAGTACCTCCCCTAGTTTGGGGTGTGAGTTGTCCAAACCCCTCAGGGATACCTTGGCAACTATCAGCTGTCCTTGGTGATGCATTCTGAAAACGCCTCTTTTTCTTCATGGATTTTTCAGGCAACCTGCAGCCCCAGCCAACAACAGCATCAGCAAAGAAGCGGCAGAGACATGATTCGGAATGCAGTTCTGGGTCTTCTCCGACAAGGAGGAGAACTCAAGCCACCTCAGATTCGGACCTTTCGCCACCGCGGGCCACTGGCCAGCCCGGCACACGGCAACCAAATTCTCCTTCTGATCTCTCCCCCCCCAGAAGGAATCGGCACAAATCTTCAGATTCGGACTTATCTCCTCCTCGAAGAGGAGCAGGCCGCAAGTCCAGAAGCCCCTCTAGGGTCCTGCCGCGTCATCAGACCATGGAGTCCAACGGGAGCAGCCAGAGGGTGAGGCTTTGGCTTCCAGCAAGGACCTGAGATGTGCTGTGGTGCCCAGTTGGGGGGAGGAAGCCTTGCTCCAGCTGAGGCTGCCGGGAGGCTGTTCCATGAATGATTTATGGGACATGCCTCCCACGCTGATTCCACCTGGTGTGTTCCTCAGATGCTGTCAGGGGACAAAGCTGGCTTGGTATCAGCTGATCTGTTGAGAAGGGAGCAGCAGGAACGTAAGAAGGCTGGCAGGAGCAACAATAGCAAACATCTGGAGGGTGAGAATTTCTACAAAACCCTGAAATTGCACGGTGCATCCATAGCAGGGGCTTCTGCCCAGCCTTTTCCCTGTCAGAATCTGGTCCAGGGGGCCAGTTGGTTGGACGTTCAATGCAGGAGGTGGACTGATTTCAGAGGCTTCCACATTGTGTTCGCATTATTAAATCCTGCAGCTTCTTTCTTGAGATTCTCTGGGGAATCAAGCGTTGCCATTCAGCTCTGTTTCTACCCTCTTCCCTGCCGTGGTTTTGCTGTGACTGCAAGAATCTGGAGTAGTGAAGGGAAAGAGAGCTCCACCTGGGAGCATCCTTACCTGTGTGGCTGCTTTTGAATGCTCTCATGTATCCGTTTCCCCTTCAGATGAATCTCGGCATGCGAAGACAGTTTTCCGGGATGAGATGGGCCGGAAGAGGGACCTGAGGCAGGAGCGGCTGGAGCAGCGCAAGAGGGCAGAGGAGAAATCTGAGCGAGACGAGCAGTACGCCAAGTGGGGGAAAGGGTGAGCTGGCAGCCCTGGGAAAAGGGCCTGGGGGCTCCCACAGCCAGGGTGGGCTTCCGGCAGGGATCTCTGTGGTTTTTTTTGACAAGGACCTGCCCCTGAACTGTCTTTGGGTGGGAGGCTGAGGTGGAACTTGAGGCTCCCTGTGTGTCGGTGTGCTCTCTTGCTACGTTGCGGCCCACAACTATGTTGTGTAGTGGTCTTGAGAGCGGTGGCATTCTGTGTCTCCTGCCACCTCATGACGTGAGCCCTGTGTCTTTTCCAGCCTGGCACAGAGCAGGCAGCAGCAGCAAAACGTGGACGATGCCGTGAAGGAGATGCAGAAGCCGCTGGCGAGGTACATCGACGACCAGGACTTGGATCAGATGCTGCGGGAGCAGGAGCGAGAAGGAGACCCCATGGCCGACTTCATGAGGAAGAAGAAGGCGGCAGCCAAGGAGAGGCAAGGCGCCAAAGGTCAGCAGCCTCCTCAGCCTGGCAACTGCGGGGAGAAACGGTCAAAAGGAGCAGCCAGCATAGAAAGGTTGTAGGGAAGAAGGTCTGGCCTTCTGGTGGGAAATCGCCCCCCAATTGGTCTCATTTCACTTTCCAGAGAATTGCTGGTTGACGTCCGAGAGAGGTGAATGCAGATAAAGGCATTTGCTAATATAATCACATTTTTTTGGCTCCCTGGTTGGTTTTTGTAGCTTACTGCAGTGATGGTACCTGCTTCTTGCCCAGGCATGTAGTACCATCAGTAAACCATCTCTAATACTTCCCCGTGTCTTGGGTCTGTGTTGTTGACGTGCCTGATTTATTGTAAGGGAAAAAGAAAGAAAGAATGAGCCTCCATGGTTTGTTTCCTTCCTTTTCCTCCAGAAAAGCCAAAATATAATGGGCCAGCACCCCCCCTGAACAGGTTCAACATCTGGCCAGGCTATCGCTGGGATGGAGTAGACAGGTAAGTCTGAGGATCCCTCAGTTCTGTGCCCCAAAGACCAGTAGGAAGGTTCCAGGCCTCTGCTTGCAGGGTTGACCCATGGCTGCAGGTTTTTTCTTCTTAAGGTGCAGCCTTGCCCTAACCTCAATCCTAACCCTGGAGGCTGTACATAAGCAGGGAGTAAATCCTTCACTCACGGGCCCTGGTGATGTTATCCAGTTGGGTAATAAAACGTCTGCGAGCAAACCACCAGCCGCACAGAACACCAAAGACTCCACGATGCAACCTCACATTCTTCCTTTCGCCTTTTCTCCAGGAACCTGAGAGGCAGCAGGGTTTCTATGCAGCTTTAGGGGGGCCTCTCTGGAGGGGAGTTGCCTTCCCTCCCCCCCACCTAGGGGGTGCTGAGGCTGTCAGACAAGCCGATTTCCCCCCAAAAAAACTATGCCTCGTCCCGTCTGGCAGCTGTTACTATCTTTTGCTTCTGCAGGTCCAACGGTTTTGAGAAGAAGCGCTTTGCCAGAATAGCAAGTAAAAAAGCAACCCAGGAACTCGCGTACAAGTGGAGTGTGGAGGACATGTGAGCGCCAGGGCCAGGCCGGGACACAAGACATTCAAAGGCCCCTCGGAAGCGGGAGGCTTCCTCCTACCAGAGTTCGCCTCCTAGAACCTGCAGGACAGCCTCTGCCCAGCACGGCTTCATAGGAGCCCCGGAATGCGGAGGGTCTTGGAAGGAGCCCCGAGAGCTGTTGGGGTGGAGACCCCCCCGTCGGTTGGTCCAGCTGGAAGGCAGAACTCGCAGGGCAGTGGAAGAGGCTGCGGCTGGCCGTGCCTCTTGTCCCAGAGGTGTTTGGGGGAGAGAAGATCTACGGCTCTGCGTCTCCCTGGACACGTTGCTTCTGTTGGACCGTTGGGTTGTGGGGCTTTCGCCCTTTCGGTCTCTTGTGAACTTGCAGGGCATCCTGGAGCGGCGGGGTGTGTGTGGGGGTGTGGGGGGGGGTGTCTGTTCCCCTTAAAGGACTTGCTGGCATGGTGGCCAAACCAGAAGAGGCTGATTGGAAAACCTCTTCTTGCTGCTTCTGCGGCGTCATTCCGGAGGCTGCTCTGAGGATCCCTGCAAGCGGCAGAGAAGGGCAAAGGGCGTCGTTAGGGAAAGCTGCAGCGCCGGAGCTCCGGGACTCTTCCCAGATTTTCAGTACTTGCTGCCATTGAAGCAGACAGTTTGTAAACAACAGGTTTCTCTTTTCCTAACTCTGCGCCTGGGTTTGTTTTTGAAACTTGTTACTTCTGAGCCATTGGACGTTTTGGAGGAGGGGGGGGCATTGTCCCTGTGTCCCATGGCTGTGCATGTGGGGGCGATCTCCCATCCATGGCTGCTGGGAGGGGGAGGGCTGCAGGGCAAGGAGGGGAGGGCCCTTTGCTGGGCGGGGGCTTGTCTCCAGCCGCTGCTGAGGCAGTGGCACCATTTGGGGAATGGCCCAGGAACATGGGTCCCCTCGGATCAGCCGCAGGACTGGGAGCTTCTGTCCTTGCCTGTCGTGGCCAACCTGAGCAAGCGAATCATGAGGCAGAGGGGGAAATGGGCAATAATTGGGCGAGTTACGCGCTATTGCAAACGGCCTTTGCGTATGATTTGCCTGCAGAGCACCAGTGTGTGTGCGTGTGGGGGAGGGGGGGGTCTGGTGCAGCCGGCTTTGCCATTCCTTAATACAGTTTGTTTAGGGATTGGAGAAAAAGTGGCAGGCAGGATGGGAGAGGGCAGCCTTGCGCCTACTTACCTGGGGATTCAAGGGAAGGGCTGGGAAAGTGGGAAGACCCAGAAGGGGGTCCTTGGCCTAGCTCCCCTCCCCCCCCTGCCCTTCCATCGTTTGGCTGTTCTATAGTTTGGACAGGAAGCCGGACGCTGGTGCTGATAATAAGCTTAAACTGGGTAATAAGCTTACGTGGCACATCGTGCATGTCGAGGACAAGCAATTAAGCCTCGCACATCATAATGAGATTTTTGTTGATGAGCTCCTGGGTGATGTGTTTGGCTAGGATTTAGGGCTTAGCTTTCGGTGTGCTCAGTAGCGCCCCCCCCACCCCCCAATCTTCTTCACACACACCCAGCAGAAACATGCCAGACAGGTCGAAGGAGAGGTGGATGCAGAGTTGGGTCAGGGTTGGTTCCACCGCCTGCCTGGCTGTGACCAGCTCTCGCCCCGGGGGGGGGGGGGGGGGGGGCCGGGGGGGGGGGGAGAAGGCCCGGGGGGGGGGGGGGGGGGAGACAACGGGAGGAAGTTGCTGCTCCTCGCATTGGAGCCTGGAAGCCATCCATAAAGGAAAAGCTGAAGGCGAACTGCAATTCCCAGCCTCCCATGTTGCCTGTGCAATGCATCCTGGGAGTTGGAGGACGCCTGGGCAAGGGAGGCAGATGCTCTTGCAGCGCCCACGGCTGCAGCCCTGGGGCTGTCCTGGAGGAGGCGGATGGGCCGGTTCCTCTGCAGATGGCTCTCCCTGGCCTTTGCCCTGCACCTGCGGGGCTGGAGCGCCTCCTCTCCCTCCGCTCAGAGGGAGCTGCCAGCTGGAGCTGCTTTCTGTTCCTTGCTTTAACGCCAGAGTCTCAGGTGGGAGGAATTACTAGGACCCCAGTAGAACAACCACATCCGGAGGGGAGGGCTTTAAAAACGCCACGTGGCAAAATGAATCTTTTTGGTTTTCCCTTTGCATCTAATGAGATGATGGGAGTTGTTGCCATTTCGATTTAGACATTTGGATTAAATCGGCAGCGGGCGGATTCAAATTAAGCCTCGGATGCCCGGGTGCCCTTTCCGTTAGGAGGTGAAGCACCCCGGGGAAATCCCCTCCTCCCCCCCCCCCCGTATAAAAGGCAGCTCGGAGTTTGGCACAGGGGACCCCCTCCCCTCTTTTCTGGGCTGTTGGCTAAACATGACTCATCCGGTGGGCCAAGGCTGGTTGGGGGGACGGGGGAGCGAGATCTCCGTGACCAGCTCAGTCGTGGTCCCAGAGGGCTGCAGTTCATGGAGCGGCCGTCAGGGGGCAGCAGCAAGCCTGAGTCCGGGGCCCAGGTTCCCCTTTAGCTCCTCCAGGTGTTCCCTGTTTGCTGGGTCTGGTGCCAGGCGGCAGGTGGTGGGGTTCCCTCCAGCAGGAGAAGGCCTCCCTGCTGCACCTGAGGCGGTGCATCGCAAAACCCTTTTCCTCCTGCAAGGCTGACGTTATGCTTATGGAAGGAAATCTGGTTGCTCAGCTCTTCAGAACCACCTTCCTTGCTCCACCTGCTACTACACGGTTTCTCTGCGGAAAACATCCTCCGGTCAGGAGAAAAAAAAAGGTGGCTTATACTGAACCCGAGTGGCTGCCTTTTGCTGGCCATCTGCTCCCTTTTCCTTCCCCCGTTTCTGCCTTTCCCAGCGGTGTCTCCACCTCCCTCCTCCCACAAGGAATCTTGGAAAGCTTTGGAGAGAATAAAAGTGCTTAGTTAGACCTGGAACTTACGATATGTTGTAGCCCCTCCGGTTTCATCTTCCGACGCTGTAAGGGAGCAACAGAGAAGATGCGCCAGGCAGGTTCTCTCCCCCTCCTCTCCTCCTGCCCCCTCAACATGCCCCCTTCAGGGAGCTTTGGTGACAGGCAGCAGAGACCCTCACGAAGAAAGAGTCTTAGGTGCGGGGGGGGGGGGGGCGTCCTGCTGCTCCCTGCAATCCTTTTAAACAAAGAGGCTTTAATATTTAGAAGTATCTCACTCCGGTGAACAATGGGAAGAAAAGAAAGGGAAAGAAAGCCGCCAGCTGGCCTCGAGCGGAAGAGAGTGGTGTGGGCGGGGCATTGATGGAGTGCTGCCTTTTCTATTACAGGCACCTCTGATAATGAAGTGGTAATAACCTGGTTAGTGCAGGATGGGTGTTCCTTCTCCTGCCATCTGCCTGTCTCAGGGTTAAAGACATCGCTGGCAAAGGAGGGTGAGGGAGAGGAAGACCCACAGAGCTACACTTGAGATGAGAAACAAGGCAAACCAACCCTGCAGGGCCTTTTGGCACCGCCTTGGAAAGCCTGAGCACGCCAACAGTGGCAGCCCTTTCCCAGCTCTGCGTCCCTCTGCATCGCTCCCTCCGCAAGACGCTTCTGGCCTCTCGGAGCCAAGGAATAGGAAAGCTTCGGAGGTGGAGAAAGGGCCACCAAAGGAGGGATTTTGCGGCCATCTACACCAGGGGTCCCCAACCACCGGTCCCCGGACCGGTACCGGTCCGTGGATCAATTTTTACTGGGCCGCAAAGCTTGGGCGCCGCCATCTTGTTTCGACGGCGCTTCTGGGTTTTTGGTTGGAAAGCGGCGTTTGGGTGCTCGCGCCTTAGTTTCGTCAAAGGGGCGGCGACGGCTTCGAACGAAGAGCCATCCCAATGGCGGTGGAGTCTTGCATTACTCAGGTACCGGTCCGTGGAAGAATAAATAATCGTGAAACCGGTCCCTGGTTCAAAAAAGGTTGGGGGCCACTGATCTACGCGGCTCCCCCTCCAGAAACTTCCAACCAACCCCGAGTGTCCAACCACCAGAAGGGGAGGCCCGTTGCTCCTCCAGCTGGACCCACCCTTGGCGCTGTCTGTCCTTGGGCCATAAGGGTCGCTTCCTCAGTGACCCGGCCGCATTTCATCTGGTTGTTGCAGGGACATCGCCCTCCTTTCCTTTCCAAATTGGCCACTCCCAGCTGGGAGGAAGGATGGGGTTTCTGTGTGGACCGACAATCTCGTTTGCTCATCCCAAGGGGGGCTTCCCATTTTAATAGCCCTTTTCTTGTAGTGGGTGATGTCTTTGGGGCTTTCTGTTCCCTCCCTGCCTCCCCCCCTTTGTGCGTGCGTGTGTGTGTGTGTGTAAATGAATGTGTGTTCTACAAGCAGCCAACATTCTGTGGTGTCACCAACCGGCTTAGCTCCCCTTCATTCCAGGTCATTTCCGAACACTTTTCTCCCACTGCTCGCCCTTCTTAGCTCCCCGTCTGTCGGTCTTGGGTCCTGCTCCATAAAGATTCTCTTCCACGTTCCCCCCCCCCCCCCCGAGACTCTGCTTCTTCCCTCTGAAAGGCTGGTGGCCTCGTGGAATCCCTGCCTGCCTCCTTGCTGACGCTCCTGTCAGTCCGTGAGACAGAGAGGGCCTGCCGATGCTTTGTGATGATTTCATCTTCAATCCCGCTTTCCACCATTTACCCTGAACAAGTGTTAAGCTAAATAAATCCCCATTCCGGTTCATTAAGACCTTTTAGCTGTCTACCATCTGGGAAATGGACTGGTTTGGCTCGCATTTCTTCCCTCTGCCATTAATTCCGTTCTAGCTCCAAGCAGGCAGGCTGATGACCACCCCCTCTTCCCCCTGGCTGGCCAGAGAGTGTCCTCTACACCCCACCCTCCCGCTCCCTTCGCTCCTGCCGGATGCTCTGCAAGGCTGGCTTTCTTTGGTTTGCCCTGCTTAAATTTTTAAGACAAACAGTCGTGTAATGCATCGCCTAATGAAACTGTTTAGGGTAATTAATTATGTATCAGCCTTGTTTGCATGCCTGCTGCAGTTCTCTTTGCCTCAGCCGAGGCTCCAATCCGTCAAAGGCTAAGTGGGAGATAAATAATGAAATCACAAAGCCGCCAGGGTGGAAATCAACACTTCCTACGGAAAGGCAAGTAGGGAAGAGGTCACCTTTAGCAGCCGCATCTCCGCTTCCAACCCAACTTTCTAAAGGGTCTGAACCGTAAGGGGTTTCCCTTCTGGCACCCCCCCTTCTCCTTACAGCCCCCCTGGAGAGAGGCTGCTGAAAATGTGGGGATCCTGCTGTGGATCCTGCCCCCCAAGACCCCTGACCACGGCCCTGTAGCCTCCAGAGCAACCTGCGCCCCCAGCTGGGCCCTCCTTGCCTCCACTGCAGCGGTGGATGCCAGGATCGGCCTCCCCCTGCTGTGGGTGGGCAGGAAAGAGGCCGCAGTAAAAGGAGCCACCCCCTGCTTAGGTGGGGAGCACCATGACCGGCCTACGTGGGCTGGAAGCACCAGAAAAGCTGCTGCCTCTCCATTTGGGGCAGAAGATCCCACCTGGGCCTCCTGGGTGAATTTTGGGGGTGCAGGGGAATGGTGTGGCCCATTGCTACTTGTGGCGATTTATAGTGGTATGTGCACACCAGTCATGCAGGGAAGGTGATGATTTACATTTGGAGAAGGGAGAAATACAGAGGGGGAACCATTGGGCATCAGTTGGGGAAGAGTCC